GGCTGATTCTCAGAGTGGTCATTACAATATTTCATTCTCCTCACTTAATTCCAGGCTGTGCTTTTTCTATACATAAATATATCAAGCTATATAAAAACCTGAACTTTTATCTGCGTAGAGGGGTTTAGAGAGTTTGTTTCTCCTGCTCCATAGGACAAGAAAAATCATTGTTTTCTGCTTTGATTTAGAGATGTGATTTATGCAGGGTCCCTTTCAGGCTTCTGTTTCAGATGTGCTAACTCTTGGGTTTGTGTGCATTTGCTCAGATTTACTGACATGAGTTTAACTGTTGATTTATAACCTGTAGGCTTCAGATGAGGAATGAATTTTTGTTTAGAGTAACACATTCTATGTGGCTTCTATTTTCTGCTCAGAGTCAACTAGTAGTTGGTTTTAGCAAAAAAAAAAAAAAAAAAAAAAAAAAAAAAAAAAAAAGAAGAAGAAAAAGAAAAAAGAATTATGGCTTTTCCTAGAAGACCGTTTCAGATGAAATTAAGATGGATTGAAAGCCAACTCCTTCCCATATAACTGCATGAAATAAAGCTCCCCCTGAACAAACTCGACCACATAAATTGGTCTTCCAGGGAGGAGCACCCGTTCTGCCACTTACTGGCTGTATCTGGGATCCTCTGGTCCTTCTCTTGTGATCAAAGATTTATTTGTTCATTCATTCATTTTCAAATATCTCTACAAAGGTTTGTTGTGTGCAAAATAAGCCCTCTCTTACTCCAGGGTCCTATGCCTTGTAATGCCATTGAGACCAGGAGATGGAGGGACACAGGCAGATAGGGCAAGGGCTGAGTGAGCTGAGACAAGCCTTGTAAAATGGGCGAGGGACAGTGGCCTACAGCAGAACAAAGGACAAAGGACCAATAAAATCTGCTTTCCTGACAACAAAAAGCCTAGCAACAGTGACCATTGTATATCTTCATCATTGCACACTAGTCAACTTTGAAAATGGCAACAGACAGCACCTTCCAGGGGTCATCAGCCTTCCTGCATGCCCACCAAAATGGCCTAGCAGAAGGTGCATATGCAATTCCTAGAATCAGGTGCTCTGCGATGTCCCACCTGGGGAGGGGCTTCTTTGTTCTTTGAATAAACCACACCTGACTCATTCCCCACAGCTGTGTCCCTGGACTTCCTTCATCATTGTCCTCACAACAAGAGCCCTGAGGGAAGATAATTGATTACCTCTTGACTAATGCTCAATATTCCAAATCATTCCCAACAAACAAATCAGTGATTTTTAAAAAAAGAATGGCACCACACATCAGTC